AAAAAAAAAAAAAAAGAAAAAGAAAAAGACTAAATTGGATTATACTTTTCAAACCTTCAAAAGTTTTATGCTATGATGTCAGACACAGAGACAACAGGGAATGAATTTGAGTATTTGGGTACATAGTAGTATTCAGTAGATATTTAGAAAACAAGTTGAGGTACTTGTTTCTAAATATATACTAGAATTTCTCCAATACATTATCATGAAATAAGTAAATACTAGTACAACATCTTTACTGCTTTTTTTCAGAAAATAGCATGATTCAATCATTGAAAAGTTATATTGTTTAATAAAATTAGAAGATAATTCATATTTTCATTCATTCAAAATGTATTTATTACTTGCTACATACCAGGCATTGAACAAGTCTCTATTGAAAGTTAATATTCAAATTTAGATGGTGGGGCAGATAAAAAAAAAATCAACTAGGAAATAGGCAAAGTTAGGTATTGAGGTACTAAGAAGAAAAATAAAACAAGATAAGGAGATAGAGTGACAGGGATGGGAGATTGGTCAGGGAAGCCTCCTTTGAGAGGATAGCATTTTAGTTGAGTCCTGATTGAAGAGAAGAAATCAGTCGAGTGAAGGTTTGGGGTGAAAGTATCCCAGGCAGAGAGAACAGCAGAACAGAGCCTCGGAAGCAGAAGTATATGTGGCATGTAGAAATTCAGCGGATCTAGAAATCTGTACGCCAGGTAGAGAGGGAGGCAGAAGCCAGACCGCGTGGACCTTGTGGACCATAGAAGCAGGGTTTGGGTTGTATTCTTTTGGAGATGGAACCAGTAGAAGATTTGAAGTAGAAGAGTGATGTGACTAATTTCAGTTTATGACCAAAAAAGAAAGCAGCAGCAGCACTCCAGTTGCTGCGTGGAGAATACAGTAAGATTATGAGAATGAAGGCAAAGGAGATCATTCAGAAGGTTATTGCTTTGAGCCAGGCAAGAGATTATAGTGGCTTGGATTAGGATGACAGCCACAGAGAGAAAGGTTGACAGATTTGGAGTATCTTCTAATGACAGAGCCATCAGGACTTGGTGATGGATTTGAGGTGAAGCGTAAAAGAAAACCCTTAAACTTTTCCCCTGAAGCAAATGCCAGTGCCATTTATTGGAATGGAGAAGATAGATGAAGACCAGTGGTGCTCAGAAGGGTAGGAAAAGATTGCTATTTCACCATATTAAAATTAAGACACATACTGGAGAGTAGAGGAGTCTGGTGGTTCAGTGGTTTAGCACTTGACTGCTAACTGAAAAGTTAATGGTTCAAACCCACCAGCCACTCCATGGGAGAAAGATGAGGCAGTCTGCTTCCATAAAGATTGACATCCTTGGAAGCCCTCTTGGAGCAGTTCTCCTCTGTCCTGTAGGGTTTCTGTGAATCAGAATCAACTCCATGGCAATGAGTTTGGGGGTTTTTTTTTGGTTATCAGAAAGTCAAGTGGAGATATCAAGTATGTGTTGGCACATGAGTTCAGAGCTCAGTAGAGAAGTCAGAGATTCTGTAGAATATGCATTACGTGCTGAATATCTGAAGTCTAGATGTTGAGAGCCCTAGTGGTGCAGTGGTTAAAGCACTTAACTGCTAACTGGAAAGTCAGCAGTTTGAACCCTCCAGCTGCTCTGTAAGAGAAAGATGTGGTAGTCTACATCTGTAAAGATTACATCCTTGGAAACCCTGTGGGGCAATTCTGTTCTGTCCTATAGGGTTGCTATGAATTGGAATTAACTCCAGGGCAATGGGTTTGGTTTTTGAGAGAGTTTTGGTATAGATACTGAACCACTTTCTAAAAGGTGAAGAAGAAAAAAATTGGGATTAAGTTATCTTAATGTAATCTTTAAGGATCGTTTTCAGGATTTCAAGACTCATTTTGTAGCTTGTAGTACATGGACGTTACAGGTTGTGCTAGGCAAAATATACTGCTTGCCTCCCTTCATAGGAAAGTGTCTGTTCTAATTTGTCTCTGTGGCATGGACTCAGAAGCTAATACTGTGATAAAATTCTACTGTCCAAGTAATGGGATTCTTAGGATGCTTTTGTACTTCTTCATAATTACAGTATAAAGTTCTAACTTCTTGCTCTCTTTCAATGCCCCACATATTCTGGACCCATTCTACCAATTCAGCAAGTACCCACCATTCCAAATGGACACAACTCCTCACCCCCCATGGTATGCAGTGCTCATTCTTTTTTCCAAGCTCCTGTTGCTTCTTTCCTGCTTTTCCCTAGTCATTTGCTTTAACACCCAGAGCTGAATTCTAGGTCTCTGAACTCTCTTAACTCTCCTGTAGCATGAACTGATATGTCCTTTCTCTAAATTCCCATAGCCTATGTGATGTGTACCAATTATTTTAATATTCAACATTAGTACCCTGCCTTAGGTGTTGCCCAGTGTTATTAGTGTGTACATTTTAAAGTGTAAGCTTTTTGAAGGCAAAAACCCATTTCTAATTCTTTAGTATAGTTGTGTGCTAGCATGCCATTGAACACATAAGTAGATACTCAGTAGATTATTTTCTTTTAGCCATTTGAATCAAACTGTTTTTATTATACTATCTGTAATGATGGACTTTTTTTTTCTCCTTTAGGCTTTCCAAGATCTGCCAAACACATTGGATGAAATTGATGCTTTATTAACAGAAGAAAGATCAAGAGCATCTTGCTTCACAGGACTGAATCCTACAGTATGCCTCTTTCCCTATTCCCTTCTGCAGCAGTCACCACCACCACCTCACACACACACACACACACACACACGCACCCGCACGCACACACAGAGTTCCTCCAGTACTTGCCTCCCACTCTGTACCAGAGCTCTTGGTAATAATAAGCTAGACAGCAGGAACAATGTGCTTTAAATGCCAGATTCTGAATCTATTAGAATTTTAAATAGATTCTTCCTAAGGAACACAGTGTTCTGTGCCTTTTCTTTATAAAAAGAATAGTTGGGCTAACCTGAAATACTGCAATGTCTAATATTTTTTCAAGGATACAAAAAAGACATTTTCAGTATGTTGCTCTTGTTAGGTCGAAGAACATAAATTCACTGCATGCAAACAATGCAACACAATTGGTATTTTCAGTTAAGATTTTAATTGATGCAAAATTTTATCCTTTGGTAGATTTATCTTTTTTTTTCCACCCCCTGCCAGGTTGTTGAGGAATACATGAAAAGAGAAGAAGAAATAGAACAGTTAACTGAGGAACTAAAGAGAAAAAAAGTTGAATTGGATAAATATAGGGAAAACATTTCACAGGTAATTATTTAATTTTTATCTTTTCTTTTTATCATATGCTTATCATTAATGACATGGGAATATAGGATTATGTAAAATTGAATGATACGCTTTTTAGAGAAAAAGTGCAGTTTATGTTCATATGGCTAAATTAATAATGCTGTTAAATTTGTTTTTTGTGAAACTTTGTGTTGGAATATAGTAACATTTCTTTTAAATTGTGTTTTTATATTGCCTTTAATTGTAGGTAAAAGAAAGGTGGCTAAATCCTTTAAAAGAGCTGGTAGAAAAAATTAATGAAAAATTCAGCAATTTTTTTAGTTCCATGCAATGTGCAGGTGAAGTTGATCTCCATACAGAAAATGAGGTAAAATTGCATTTTGAATATATTTCATGGCAAGTGATTTTAACTGTGTGCTAAAAGTTCATGTAAATTATTTCTTTACTTTAAAATTATATTTAAGGAAAAGACCACCTATGAGATTACATCTGGTTGCTTTGTCTTCTTCTTCTTGGCTTTTGAGATTAGTGACTAAAGTTATTTTATTAACCCTTTTAATACCTGGTCTAAGTAATGATTATTCAGCTATAATAAACAAATGCTTTGCTTTATAAATTTACCAACTGCCCAAGTTAAAAGACTTGTAAACAAATTGGTAGTGTATATCAGTGGTTTCCTTTTGGTCAAGAATTTTTAAGAGAATTTCCCAAGAATGGAAATACTTGAAAATTTGTTACTGAATTCTTAAGCTAAAAGTTTGTGCTTTACAGTTTTGAGTAAAATAGATTTGCTATTAAGAAATGTGTCGAGAGATGAACTGAGATTTGCTTCAGAAGAAGAGATGGGTGGAGTTACAGATGAAATGAAAATGGCTGTGTTTTGGTCATATGTCGTATCATGGTTCAGTGATTAAGCACGAAGCTGCTGACTGAGAGGTTAGCTGTTCAAACCCACCAGTGGCACCATAGGAAAAAGACCTGGCAATCTGATTGTGTAAAGATTACAGCCTCAGAAGCCTTATGAGACAGTTCTGCTCTGTCTTGTAGGGTTATTGTGAGTCAGAAATGACTGGATGCTCCTAACAGCAAAGTCTCATGGTTGATGGTACACTGGGCTCATTTTAGTGTTCCAATTTGGTATATGTTAGAAAGTTTTCATAGTAAAAGTTATTTTAAAAATAAGTAAACAATAAAGAAAATGATTCTTTTCTTTACAGCTTGATAATTTTGCATTTTACTTGCACACATAAATATAAAGCAAGATAACAGCTTTGCCCCGGACACCTTTCCCCATGACCCCTTGAGTTATTTCATGTGAGAACATCATTTCACTGTCAAGTTCTGGTAAGGTAATAGACCCTGCTACAATGATTGCCATCTGCACAGTCTCTGGGCTTCTTAGATTTAAAGGATGTACTGCAGTAACAATAATAACCAAAGTATAATATGCTTCCCATGTGCTCAGCACTGTGCTGAACACTTTTGAGTTTGTTGTTCTTGTTTAACCCTCACAACAGTCCTGTGGAGTAAGACACCTTTATTGATTCTGTTTTAGAAAGAAACTGAAATGTAGAGAAGTTAAGTAATTTTACGAAAGATTACTAACAGAGCTAGCAAGTGGCAAAACTAAGAAGCAAACGTCAGAGCTGACCTCAGAGCCTAAGCTCTTAAATATTGTTTCTCTGGTAGAAGTTACATAGCTTTTGTGGGATGAAAATTTGATTACTGATAGCTTGAGCAGACTCAGAGTAACTACAGAATCTTTATCAAACAGCTTGCCCAGATAAGACCTAACTGTGATCAAGTAGGGGAGCTCTGGTGGCGTAGTGCCTAAGGCATTTGACTGTTAACCAGAAGTCTGCCTGTTCAAACCCACCAGCCACTCCACGGAAGGAAGGTTGGGCAATCTACTTCTGTAGTGATACTGCCTCAGAAATCCAAGGCAGGGTCACTATGAGTCGGATCCGACTCAACAGCAGTGAGTTTGGTTTCATTTAGTGATCAAGTAGAGGAGCTCTGGTGGCGTAGTGCCTAAGGCATTTGACTGCTAGATAGAAGGTTGGTGGTTCAAACCCAACAGCTGCTCTGTGGAAGGAAGACTCGGTGATCTACTTCCTTAAAGATTTACCACCTCGGAAACCCCAAGGGGGTCACTATGAGTCAGAATCGACTCGATGGCAGTGATTTGGTTTTTTGTTTCTTGTGATCAAGTAAGCATAATATATGTAGCTTGTGGAACTTGACCTGTCATAGAAATCCCATTCTTTAGTTCCTGTTGAATGTTTCTGTAACTTTATCTTAAGCTGTTTCTTTTCTGTGTTTTAAATGATAACTACACTATCATAGAGATGATTCTCATCAAATTTGTCTTTGCAATTCTCTTATATAACCTTGCACCCCTGGAAAATGTGAAACTTCTTAAGTTCTCTTCATTCTCCTTGGAATGCTTTCCTGTTCTGGTCTCCCCAGTCATACATAGTTGTACAGTTTCCTTCTTTAGCTAGATCCTCTCTGAAATGGAGGAAACTAGCGTGGGCCAGAAAGACACCGATTAGATGGCCGAGATAAAAAACAAACTCTGATAGTCAAAGCCGCTATTATTAGCAGATGACATAATTAAGAAAGTTATTGTGGAAGACGTATGACCTGTAAGTTATGAAGTAAACCTTGGGCAGCAAAACCATTACAAATTCATTGTTGTCATTTATTTTATTTTTTTAATTTTTTTTTTTTGTTGTGATTTGGGTGAAGGTTTACAGAGCAAATTCACTTTCCATACAGTGGTTCACATATACTTTATCTCATGACATTGACCACAGTTTACCACAATGTAACAGCTCCCCTCCCACTTCCTTCCCTTAGTTACCTCTTCCTTTTGTCCATACCTCCATGCATTCCTGCCCCCTGAGCTGTCTCCCTGTGCATAAGCAACCCTTCTTTCTCCCATGATTGTTCTCTCCAAGAAGTGTATCTACTTGGGGTAAATGTTCAACTCATGCCTGCCTTTTGTTTGGCTGGAAACCACAGTTCAATTCCAGATCTGAAGGGCAGCTAGGGACCATAGCCTCAGTCGTTCCACCAGGCTCTCTCGGACCAGCAAACCTGGTACCCCCCCCCCTTTTTTTTTCCCTCCAAATGATTTTGAGTTTTGTTCCACATTGTTCTCCCTCTCTATCAAGGATCTCCTACATAGATCCCTTTCCAAGTGGATGACAGTGATAGCCTGGCACCATCTAGTTCTTCTGGTCTCATAGTCGTATAGGCTGCAGATCGGATGGTGTACCAGTCACTAGGACTAATTTGTTTCTATGAATTTTGGTTTTCCTCATTCTTTGCTCTGAACGAGGAGAGACCCATCGTTGTATCTAGATGGCAGCTTGCTAGCTTTTAAGATCCCAGTCGCTACTCACCAAAGTAGGTGGTGGAACAATGTTTTGTATACTATGTTATGCCATTTGAGCTTGATGTCCCTTACAACTGTGGTCCCAAGCTTGCAGGTTCACCTACTCGGTCCCTCTGGGTAGCTGGCTGTGGCCAAGCTATGACCACAACCTTGCCCTTTGTCAGCTCTGCTATACACCTGGGAATTCTGATCATTCACATTAACTTATAGGACCATTGTCTGCCAACCCAATATATGTTCTTGGATACACTCCCCATTTCATAGACATACCTAATCGTTCAGCCTGTCCACCCGTCTATCCATTCATATACCCATGTTTGCCTTCACTGACGATGCAGTACTGTATGTACAAAAGGGTTCATACCTGTGTCTGTACCTCCCATGTACCTCTCTATGTCTTTCTCATCCTCAATGCTGCCATTCTGGTCACTCATATTTGGTACATTGCCCCTCTCTTCACCCAAATCAATACTTATCTCTGTCTATCTAACAGCATTCCCTCCCTTCCCCTCCCACCCCTGGTAACCAACAAAGAAAATTTCCTTCTGTAGATAAACCCTTTCCTTAACTTTTACAGTAACAGACTAATACAATATTTGTCCTTTTGTGATTGACTTATTTCACTCAGCATAACATCCTCTAAGTTCATCCACGTTATGC